TTGAGGGATTCCTGTTTCTGTCTACTCACTGTTTTAGAAAGGAGGTTGTGGGGAAAGGGAGGGGTGGCTCTGAGAACAGTTGGGGATAGAGATTGGCAGGACTCCTTTTGGGAGTGTGGCAGCGGAAGGGCATGGCAGCACTGGGAGGAAAAGTGCAGAATTTTCTCCATCCCAGCGTAATGGCCTTAACATGCTCGGATGCTTGATGGTGAGAGGTGCTTTAACCACATACTGAAACAGTATGAGTTACAGTCATTGTTTCATATCCCAACCACTGAGTTTTGACAGCTAAACATCATTACTGTTGATGGGAACTGGATGAAGAATGAATTAATTTTAGCCAAGTACTGAATTTCAGTGAGTGAATCTCATTCACTCCCTCATTCGTTTGTTCAGGTTTTGTATACCAGCTGTGCACCTTCCAAGTGCCAGGTACGGGAGGTACTCATCAGAAATAATCCTTCACGTAAGGAGGGCAGCATTCTTCTAGTGGGTTACCTGACACATAAACAGACAATTGCAGCGCAGCAAGTGCTGTATGTACACTGTAACTGTGTGGTGAGTGTGTAGAGAGAGGGTGAGCACCTGAATGTGCGTGGAGAGGATCCATTGCAGAGGGGATACTTGAGCTGTAGTGGATGAGAAGCTGGTAAAAATTAAGGCAATGAGTATATATAAGTACTCCAAAAGTTTGGTAAAAAGAGAAAGGAGAAAAATAAAATGATAATCCAAGGGATATTTTGTGAGTACTGGTAGAGCTCTGTGTTTTGGTGATAAGTGATAGATGTGCAAACAGCTATCAGCGAGTTACAAAATTTCAGTGAGTTATAGACTTGTGTATGCAGTTTTATGCATGCATATTATACTTCAACAAAAATTGTAAAAGGAGGCAGTGGTAGAGACTGAAAGTGCTAGAGGGTGCTATGTGTGTGGGCATAGTGGGTGTTCCTCAAAAGACAGAAGGTTTAAGAGTCCTGGGCAACAAGGTTATCTTTGGCGTAGTCCCCTTTTCTGTGGATATGGGAAAAGACCAGGTGGTTTTCAGAGCAGATACCGAGAGTTCTTGTTAAGTTGACCTCAGTTGTCTTAGTGAATGGGAGCCAAGCTCATCCACAAGCCATGAGAGATGGTAGGAGCCTGCGAAGAGAGGAGACAAGCTGGATTCATTCTCTGGAAAATGAGTAAGAACTGCAGAAAGGATAATCTGTTCAGTTCAGAGTTCAGAGAGGTTGGAATGCCAGGTTTTGCATGCTGTGCAGCTCTGCAGGCTCTGCACTCCTTGAATTCATGGGTGATATCTTGAAATAGGTATCTGTGATTCAAACGAGGTGGGCACCAGCGTCTTCCCCAGGCCCTCCTGAACATCAGCGATCTAAGCCCTTTTGAAGGCCCTGTCTTAGAAAATGCTTATGTCTGGCTTGCCTAGGTGTACTATATACACCTTTTGCTTTGAATTTGTCTGTAGTTGTCTCAATATCAGTTTAGGGCTTTGCATATCACATTTGCTTAGTTAGCACCTCTTGGCCTGATTTTTTAAAGAGCTACTTATCAGTGTGTAGGCCATTTGAGAATTTTATAATGAAATGTTGTGCTAATGGAATGAATCATTTTTATGGACAGACAATTGTACCTTAAACAAAAAGACTTAATGAAGTTAACACTGAAATAGCTATCTGTTGAGCTGAATTTATCCGAGGGACCCATGTTATCATTTGCTTATAAATATTCATATATTTAGGGCTGGGGATTTAGCTCAGCAGCATAAGCACCTGCCTTGCAAGCAGGCAGTCGTGAGTTCGATCCCCAGTACTGATAAAAAGGTAAAAAGACAAAAAATAATGCATATATTTCACAGGTCCTACAAAAGTAAATAAAGATGCACTCTCTTCTTAGAAAAACTCAAAAAGTGTTGGGGGATTCGCTTAGTGGCATAAGCGCTTGCCTGGCAAGCGTGATGTTGTGAGTTCATCAGTAGTATAAAAAGAAAGAAAGAAAGACAGACAGACCCAGAAGGAAAGTCCAAACTTGTAAATGGTCCAGCTAATCAGTATTAAAGGTCCGAATGTATCCAGTATTTTGCTAGATACTTAGAGGATACTAAAAATTGGTAGTATGTAGTGCTGTTCTTGTTGAGTATATGGTACTGGATTAGGAAAAATAGCTAATTAGAGATCAGTTGGGAAGAGTGTAACCTTCATGCATGGATTCAGGTAGTATGTACTATCTAAAAATTAATTTAATTCAGCAGTAAAACAAGGTTTCATTTAAGTTTTAGGTATGCCTTCATAGGGCACTTACATTTTTACATTGAACTTTTTATTGTTGTAAAGCATTATAATTTGGTGCACAGTAAAGCAGTCGGGAAACATGATGAAGTATAAAGGATAGAAAATCCACTCGATTCTCATCACTGGTCTCAATTTGGTCTTTTTTTCCTATATGTACTTTTTCCCTTGAGCCATGTTTTGTAGTTTTAAAAGTTTTTATTGAACTAAGATGAAAATCATGCTGCGAGGGAGCGGACTTTTTCATAAAGTCATTGTTTTTTCAATTAATTTAAATGGATAATACAGTAGAATATATGTATATACTATTGATAAGTTATATATTTGTGTGTTTATAGGTATATTATTGAGCAAAAAAGGGCATTATAATAAGCCAATTAACCTTAGTGGGGATAATATAGGAGGACAGGAGACCCCTTATTTGTTTCAAAGGATAAAGATATTGACCCTTTGTGTAAAATAAAATTACAAAAGTAAACTAAAGAATATATGGTCAAAAGTGAATATTCTTTGTTTTCTCCTCCTTTCCTAGTGTTTGACTTATCCTTTCTCTCTCTCTCTCTCTATGATATCTATATCATGTTTATACAAATATATAGCTTTCATATTTTATTTATCAAAAAGTAGATCATGCTGTGCCTGTTATTCTGTAACTTACTTTCATCACTTTCTAATCATGAACATTTTCCCATGTCAGTATATATAGCTCTACCTCATTTGTTTTCAGATGTGTGTTATGTTCTGGTGTGTGGATGTGCCACATTTTATTTAGTCAGTCTCCTAAGGATAGACATTTATAACCCAGATTTTTTTGTGAACTAGTGTTTATTCTGGGACATTATTTGGTCTAAATCATATGAAGAAGGACCTCTCATTTTCTTTCTTTTTTTTTTTTTATCATTTTCAAAGGTGACTGTAGGATAACTGTGGGTTCAGGATGTTTCCTCCACTTTTATGTCAGAAGAGGAGAACATTCAGACACTGTTATCCAATGGGTAACTTTTTGTGGAATATTTAAGGATGCTTTATTGGTGACATTTCAATAAATGGTAGAGGCCACTGTTAGCCTCTTTCTTGTGTGCCTTTAAATGAACTACAAGCAAGATTTGCACACAGTTAACCAAAAAAATAAAAAAAGGGCCACATGTTCTGTGGGCTTGCATGGAAGTTAATCCTAATACAACAGTTAGGTAGGGAGACATACTTTAGGTGGTGTGTACAAAAGCCATGGTCTATACTTAGGAAGAACACAAGGATTGATTTGGGAAACCTTGATTTCCAATTTTGCTAATCACTAAATAGTACTGTGACTTGTCTAATCTAGTTAATATGCCTGTTTTTATAGGTAGGGCCTCTCTTTTTCTCATCAGAAGAGGCTGGCATATTTGCTTTGTCATTCCTTATAGAATAGCCTGACTAAAGAAAGCTGATAGAAGGAAAACTGAAAAAACAAAACCACTGACTAAATGAGAAGGAATTTTGTTAGCTGCTCCTCTGGGGTTTCCTTTGGTTTTGAATGTGGTTGAAAGTTGAACTATGGGAGTCGGATGGGAGTGACTGTTCATACAGTGCTTGAGGATTGTGCTTTTTCATATCTGATAGGAAATGGTGGCACTGGAGATGGAGTCAAATGTTTCGTGGTATGTCCCATTTGCTTTTGGAAGAGATATGTGTACAAGAGTGGAGGAGTAGCTCATCTGACTTCCCAGAGTGGCTGAGGGTGTCAGTGTGGTTCAGTTGCACACTTACTTATTACTCAGATGTAAAATAAAAAGAAAATGTAGCCCTTAAAACTTTCTGAAATGGAGTTAATTCATATGTCTTTTTCAATTTTGTTATTTTATACTGATTCTTTTCTTTTTTGGACTTCATTTTGGATAACTGTTTCTTTTTGCTGAGTTGCTCTGTTACTTAGATTTTTCTTCTGTTTCTCCACATCTGTTCAGAACACAGTCTAGCTGTGTAGTGGGGCTCAAATGGACTTGTAAAGGTGGGGGCAGGAAAGGAAGACTGCCAGGAGCCAAGGCATGCTAGTTTAAATGCCCTTTTCTTCATTTTGTGAATCTGCAATGACTCCTTTATGTATGTTTGCAAAAGTGTGCAAAGGTATTGCTTTTCAGAGTATTATGATACTCAGGGGTCAAGCCCCTACTATTTTTCTATAAGGTCAGAGTTTTTGCCCAGAGCAGCTTCTTAGTCCTGACCAAGTTAGTGACTCTCAGAGTACCATTACCAGGGAACAAAGAGATACGTGGATGCCAACCTTGGTTAGTGCCAACTGTGGGAAGACAAGAAGTTAAAGCCCCTGCTCTAGATGCTCACCTTGGCTAGGATAATGTTTTCATCCACTGAACACCATCCTCTCCCCTCCACACCACATTAGTCATGGTATTTGATGCAAAGTAGCATTCTCCTGGAAGCCTGCAGTGTGTCAGGGGCAGCCTTAGTGTCCTCAGGCTCCTTCACACCTGTTGAGCTATTTTTAAAGCTGCCCTCCTCAACCCTTAGTTGGGCTTTGGATGGATGATAGGAGGCTGAGATACTGCTAGCTGTTTAGACTGAATATCTCCCATGTTTATTTGTTGGTTGAGGAAGATGGCTGTCCCTTTTTTTTTTTTTTTTTTTTTTTTGTGGCAAGATCTCCTCTATGTCACACCTCAATACTGTGGTCTGTAGTAACCTCACTGGTCAAGTTCACCAAGCCTGGATCTTGATATGTTCATGGATGCTTGGAAATTCAAGCTGCATACTAAAAATATCCAGTCCTAGATATCAACAGGTAAACACTGACATTTTCTTTTTTGCCTGATGCTATAAATATGCTAAACTTTCTTGAGGCAAATAGATGCTTCTGACAGAATAAGGAAGAAGTTAAATATATGTAAAGATATGCAAAAAAGGAAAGTATGTTATATTTTAAAAAGTATTCCCTCATTAAAACAAAAATTTTTGGAAACAAAAATTTAAAAATGAGACTTGTATGACTACCTTTCCTTGGGATTCAATTTATGGTTTAGATCTGAAATGTCTCGCAAAGGTCTCATGTGTTTGGATGGTGATTGGGGTATAGGGGGATTATACTCATCAGTGGATTCATCCAGTGATGTGTTAGGTAGCTGAATGTGCTGATCGGATGCAGCGTCTGGTTGAAGGCAACCCAATAGGTGCTTGCCCTGGAAGGGATATTCTTGTCCCCACTCCTTTTTTCTCTCTCTGCCGTGGAATGAGCAGCTGTCTTCTATTCAGGTCCTTCCATCATACCATTTATGCTGTGGAGCCAGCTGAACAGCTGTGAACCAAAATAAATCTCCTTTAAGTTGTGTGTCAAGATTTTTTTTGGCCCAGCAATGCTAAAAGTGACTAAGACAGATTTTGGTACCAGAAGTGGGCTTTTTGTGCCTATACCTGACTGTGGTTTAGAGGTCTTTGGAACTGATTTGTAGGAAGAGTTTAGCAAAGTTTGGAAATGTGAGCTAGAGAAGCCCTAGAATGTTGTGAGCTGAGCTTGATGGGTGTTTCTAGTCAGAGCTCAGAAGACCAGAATGCTGACAGGAATGGAGATGGTAGTGGTCAAACTCAGAAGGTTTCAGTTGGAAACAGTGACTACATTGGCTGTTGGACTAGAGACCATGTACTTTACATCCTGGCAGAAAATTTGTCTTCATTTTTTTCATGCTTTGAAACTTTGTGGGAGACTAAGATTAAGTATGATGGGCTAATTAATTCTGCAGAGAAAATTTCAAAGCAACCCAATATTCGGGCTGTTGCATGAGTACTTCCACTGCTTTTAAGCCAGCTTTACAGTGAAAGTCAAGAGAAAAAAGGAAATGTGAAAAGTGCCATTTCATTAGAAAGAAAGTGTCTGGGCACACCGTTTCTGGGCTCCGCCGCGGTAAGCATTTTGAGAGCGCTCCGTTTGCAACCCGAGAGCTCCTCAATATCGCCCGCTCTCATTTCACAGCTTTCTTTCTTTGTCTCATAACCATGTCCACCAATGAGAATGCTAATTCACCAGCTGCCCGCCTGAACAGATTCAAGAACAAGGGGAAAGACAGCACCGAAATGAGGCGACGCCGAATAGAAGTTAATGTGGAGCTAAGGAAAGCTAAGAAGGATGACCAGATGCTGAAAAGGAGAAATGTAAGCTCCTTTCCTGATGATGCTACTTCACCACTGCAGGAAAACCGCAACAACCAGGGCACTGTGAATTGGACTGTTGATGACATTGTCAAAGGTATAAATAGCAATAATCTGGAAAACCAGCTCCAAGCTACTCAAGCTGCTAGGAAACTGCTTTCTCGTGAAAAACAGCCCCCCATAGATCACATAATCCGGGCTGGTTTGATTCCAAAATTTGTGTCCTTCTTGGGCAGAACTGACTGTAGTCCCATTCAGTTTGAGTCTGCTTGGGCGCTCACTAACATTGCTTCTGGGTCATCAGAACAGACCAAGGCTGTGGTGGACGGAGGTGCTATCCCAGCACTCATTTCTCTCTTGGCCTCTCCCCATGCCCACATCAGTGAACAGGCTGTCTGGGCTCTAGGAAACATTGCAGGTGATGGTTCAGTTTTCCGAGACTTGGTTATCAAATATGGTGCAATTGACCCGCTCTTAGCTCTTCTTGCAGTTCCTGATATGTCATCTTTAGCCGGTGGTTACTTACGTAATCTTACCTGGACACTTTCAAACCTTTGCCGCAACAAGAATCCTGCACCCCCATTAGATGCTGTTGAGCAAATTCTTCCTACCTTGGTTCGTCTCCTACATCACAATGATCTTGAAGTATTAGCAGATACCTGCTGGGCTATTTCTTACCTTACAGATGGTCCAAATGAGCGCATTGAAATGGTTTTAAAAACTGGAGTTGTGCCCCATCTGGTGAAGCTTCTAGGATCAAATGAATTATCCATTATGACTCCTGCGCTAAGAGCCATAGGGAATATTGTTACTGGAACAGATGAACAGACTCAGATTGTAATAGATGCAGGAGCACTCGCTGTTTTTCCCAGCCTGCTTGTTCACCCCAAAACTAATATTCAGAAGGAAGCTACCTGGACAATGTCAAACATCACAGCCGGCCGCCAGGACCAGATACAGCAAGTTGTCAATCATGGATTAGTCCCGATCCTTGTCAGTGTTCTCTCTAAGGCAGACTTTAAGACACAAAAGGAAGCTGTGTGGGCTGTGACCAACTACACCAGTGGTGGGACAGTTGAACAGATTGTTTACCTTGTTCATTGTGGGATGATAGAACCATTGATGAACCTCTTAACTGCCAAAGATACGAAAATCATTCTTGTTATTCTGGATGCCATTTCAAATATCTTCCAGGCTGCTGAGAAATTAGGTGAAACGGAGAAGCTTAGTATAATGATCGAAGAATGCGGAGGTTTGGACAAGATTGAAGCACTGCAGAACCATGAAAACGAGTCTGTGTACAAGGCCTCCTTAAACTTGATTGAGAAGTACTTCTCAGTAGAGGAAGAAGAAGATCAAACTGTTGTGCCAGAAACTACCTCTGAAGGCTATACTTTCCAAGTTCAGGACGGGGCTCCTGGTTCCTTTAACTTCTAGGTGTACAGCTGAGGGGGGCATCAGTCTTTGTCATGTACTGTGTTCGGTATAAGTTTGTCTGTTTCTCTTACAAACTCTTTCTTTTCAATGTGGTTTGTCATTGTAGCACTTTTTACAACGAAACTATACTTGAACAGTTCCAAACTGTACATACTGTATGAAGCTTATCCTCTTAAGGGGTTTCTTATTTCTATATGGAACTTCATATTTTGCAGTGCCCTGTAAATAAAGATTAAATTCCACCCTTTGCTTTACCATGCTATGTGTTACCTTCTAATTTTGGGCTCATTGTAGGTGAATTTAGCAGATTGCGATCAGTGACAAGAAGTGGTCTTGATGTTACCAAGGATACAGGGCTGAAAGCTTTTCTCGGCAGATTGAACCTCCTGGTTTTGTTCTGGGCTGCTTCCCTTCTAAGTAATAATGGCTGTTACGGACTTTATCTGTTCTTCACACTAGATAGAAGAAATTTCTGAAGTCTTCACAGAGGCTTTCAGCCAGTAGTATCTCCCTATGTCTCATTAAATCTTTAAATTTTAATAATGCAGGTTGGATGTGGTGGTGCACACCTGTAATCCTAGCTCTTAGGAGGCTGAGACAGGAGAATCTGAGAGTTCAAAGCCAGCCTGGGCTATCTAGTGAGTCTCTCAAAAGATGAAATCACAAAATGTTTATTACAATATCCCATAATCCATAGGGAAACAGTGTGTCTTTAAAGTACTATAATCCTTGGGGCTGGGGAATTAGCTCAGCAGCATAAGCACCTGCCTTGCAAGCAGGCGGTCAATAGCTCGATCCCCTGCACCCATAAAAAAAAAGTACTATAATCCATGAGTGAAAAATGAACCGACCTTTCACTCCCTGTATCAAAGGCAACTTGATTGCTGTTTTATCCAGAGAAGCTGTGGCTTGCAGGTGAGGAAGTAGGCATAAGACCAACAGCTGACACATGGAGTTGTGACTGGCCTCAAACTTGCTGTGTAGCCAATGCCTGAGTACTGGAATTACCTGATTAGGATTTTAAGGGTCTTGTAAGAGTACTTGGGCATTTTTTCCAGTCTTTTAACATGTCTCCCTTTACCTTGACAAATATTCTATTCTCCCCCTTGTTCATCAATAAAAACAAAGTTACCTTTAAAAAAAAAAAAAAAAAAAAGAAAGAAAGTGTCTGCTATTTGGGCACTTGGAGAGCATAGTTACTGATGAGATTAGCATTAAAAAGGACCCAAGTTCTTTGAATGAGAATAGGAATAATAACCTTAAGGCATCTTAAAGAATCAGCCACACCGTATGTTTTTATGGCTCAAGGGTGCAGAACTATAAAGTTTTTACTTGAGAAGAGAGTCCCAGAGCTCCCTGCTTAAGAAGGTTCACCTATGGAGTTGGTTCCTAGGATTTGTTTCACAATGCTCATCAGTTGAGGCACTCAGATCATGTGTGCTTGGCTATGCTCAAGCTGGCAGCAGGCTTTGGTGTCATCCATGTGGTGCTGGTTTTTAGGCATCCACAGTGCAAGAGTTATGGGTCATGGAGGCTTCCATCCACATTTCATAAGAAGATGGTCTGGGAGGCCAGGCGGTATATCCCTTAGAGGGCAGTGCAAAAGCTGTGGGAGTGAAGCAGAAAGTGCATTGGAGATCCTAGGAAGTTGGAGATGCCAGAAATGTAGAATGTCAGCTGAGGGAAGCTACAACACTAAGTGAAGCCATCTCACAAGAGAGGCTATAAGGGCTGTGACTGGCAATGCTATAGGGACAGAGCCACTCCAGTCCTTTGGAGCTCAAATCTCACCTCAGTCTGCTCTAGGAGTTGGATATGAACCTATAGGATTTAGGGAATCAGGGGAATAATATTATGGTTTAGGTCCAAGATGGCCCTCATAAATCCCATGTTTGGAAGGAGATTGAATTATAGGAGTGCTGTACTCATTAGTGGATGCATCCATTGATGAGTTCAGCAGCTGACTGTATTATTAGAAGGTGAGGTCTTTTTGGAGGCTATCTACTGGGAGTATGACCTTGAAGGGTATATTCTTGTCTTTTTTTTTTCTGCTTCCTGGCTGCCATGGGATGAGCAACTTTCCCTTACCCAGAATCTTCTACTATGCCATTTCTGTCTTGGAGCTGGCGCTGACCTCAGACTGAAATCCATAGTCAAAATAAACCCCTCCTCCTATAAGTTGTGTGTATAAGGTGTTTTGTCTCGGCAACGAGAAAGTGGCAAAAACAACATGTATGTGTTTATGTGTGTGTAAATGTGCAAGAGTGTGGGGCTGTTAATTTCTACAGCAAACATTTAGTGAACACTCAGTACATACTCCTATCATACCCTGTGGTTCAGAGGGGTGGATGGCACAGTCTCTGTGTTCAAGGAGTTCTTGATCTTAGGAAGGATAGGGTGGAGATGGATTCCATACAGAGCTACACTGCACAACCCTGTTCTCTGGTGGCTGGTGTTTTGGTCTGGTAAATATGACTAACGTTTGAGGTAGGAGCTTTTACTGGGTCTGGTTTCATCTTAACTTGTAAAGGGTCTGCCTTCCGAATCCTTTTAATCTCCTAAAATGACCAGTTGCAGTCAATTTTTTCCCTTAAATAAAGTTCATTCCTTAATACAGGTTGAAGTATTTACAATTAATTTTAAGCAGAAGTAAATATATAGAAAAATGGAGTTCAACTTAGGACCATTGCCCTACCGCTCTGTAGCTGTTCATTATTGTTCTTAGCCAAAATATTTTTACCTCCTTTTACCCAGAAAAACCTCAATGTTTTACTTACTGTTCTTATTTCAGGACTCTGGGGTTCAAACAGTGTTTAGATCTCTGAGCAGTGTTTCTAGTTGGGAGAAAATGGGATCTCTGTCTCTTGGGATGGTGGCAGAGACTGGAAGCCTGATAAACTAGGCCAAACCAGACAAATCCAGAACAAAAATAAAGCAGTGGTAAGTGATGGTGTCAGATAGTTGGTTCCAGTGGAATAAGTAAGTGGGGTGTCAGAATTGTGTTGCTATTGCTTAGCTCAGGCAGGTACCTTTCCTTTCTGAGACCAAGGTCAAAATTGATTTAGAATAGCCTTTGATGTATCTTCTGCCTACAACATTCTGAGCTAAATGGATGGTGAATGGGGAACAGAGAAACCAAGGGGATGGGAATCAGGAGACACATGGCTGAGGACAAATCATCCCCGGTAATCTGGAGACTTTTTGCCTATTGGTGGCCTGTTTCCAGTTTTTGAAGCTCAAGAGTGCTTAGTCAGTCCTCTGATACCAGAGCTCATTAGGGGATCCAGTGTTCTGTTTGGCCAAGAAGGGACACTAATTCCCTTGAGGAGAATCAGTCTAATGATTAGCAAATGGCCTCAAATCATTTTTGGCTCTTAGAGTCTTTTAAAAGAAGGACCAAGTGCCTGGCATTTCTGGGTCTGTGTTGAAAAATCTCAATCCCTCATTCTGTTCCTTTGAATCCCAGGTCTTGAGTTAGGAATGTGTCAGACACCCCAGATAATATCTTCACCAGAGACCACCTCTCTGCCAGTAGTCCTAGTATACAGAGAAAACTAATTTATTGACCTTCAGAAAACTCACAGTAGAGAGAAATGTACTAGAATTTTTTAGGTGTATATGTAAATGTATATTCCATGTATATGATAGGACTATATTAGTGGTTAGCTGGGACATAATGGGAGTAGTTAAGCCTGTTTTGGCAATTGTGGTGGTGCTAGAGCTTTCTATTGTAAAGGAATTTAACACTACTTAACTCTACCAACTCTTTAAGCATTTAGAATAACAAATACTAACAAAACTCCAGAGTGACTGATGATTGGATAATTATAGACTTCGACAACTTTTCCATGAAAGTCGGAAGTCTGCATGCCTGTGTGTACATATATGTTCTCTGCATATATGTGTAATATTGCTCACACTGTGGGTACAAATGTGTCTGCTCCTTTTAGCGCACTGGGTTCCTGACATTTTCAACATTAAAATTCCCATGCTCGCCCAGAAGTGCTCCCTGTAGGATCTGTTTCTGCTTGGCTCAGTGTACACAAATATACCAGTGGGATTGATTGCTTGTGTGAAATTAATTTTTTCCTTTTCCAGGGAGAGTGTCTGCCTTGTGGAAACTGGCGAAATCTGCAGGCCTCTTGCCAGATGCACAGCTCAAATAGAGGAGTCAAGTCAGGCTTGAGTCAAAAATTGGCTTGGATAACTGACAGTTAATGGTGATCAACTTGACTAGATTAACAGATGGCTAGCAGATTAGTAAAGCATGCTTTGGGGTGTATCTGTGGAAGTGTCTAGAGGTTATTGGCATGTGGGCCAGCAAATTGATAGCGATATCCTCCCTGATATGAGTGGTACCATTCAGTAAGCTAGAAGCTGGTTGGAACGAAGAAAGAAGTTGGTCTGTGTTTGAAAAAGCTCCATTTGGTGCTTGGGTAGGTGCATTTTTCACTATTACTATTGCCTGTGGATGTCAGACTCCAGTTTCTTCAGCTTTCATTGTGTACATTTCATTGCCAACTCTTACTGGCGGCTCTTTGGAGAGCTTCTAGGCCTTTTGTCTAGGACTGGTGCTGCATCATCCTTGATCCCTTTTGTTTTGTGACTTCCAGCTTCTTGGATTGAATAGCTACTGGATCATCTGGCTCTCCAGCACACAGGTGGCCATTGTGGATTATCCTGCCTCTGATATTGTAAACCTATCTATCTAATAAACCCCTTACATAATATCATATTTATATTTATATTTGTTTTTGTTCCTTTAGAGAACCCTAACAAATAACCCACAGGACCTACACCTGGATACTTGAGCTAACATTCTTGTCATGCTTTGTGACTATTCGTAGGCAACAGGAAAACTTGAGGCTAGGGGCAGACAGCTGCATATGAGAGGAGTGGGTGTTTTCAGTATCAGTTGCAATAATATTTCCTCCATTATGTCCATTTTCCTTCTCCTGCTTTATTTAAAGGGTTGTAGAGTCTCTGGAGATAGATGGAGAATATTTCAATGTCTGCCTTTCCCACCCAGCTACTGTGCACACTTTAGGGATAATTTTAGCCCTAGTTTTGATGCTTCCCTATAAGCTTTAGTGAATCTTTAGAAAATAGCACACTCAGCTTTTCCTTTGCAGGTAACCCTTAACTTCATAGTACAAGGTGGCCAACCTTACAGCATTGTCCAATCCAGACAACATGTCAGGAACCTTCAGACTGTCTTTTTTCCCACAACTGAACCTATGGA